AATTCCTCACAGACGTTCAGGTGATCAACAAACAGCTGGTTGAGGTGAGGGGAGTCTGAGCTGTGCCCGTGCCTGTGCCCTGTGGTGGGGTGCACTCCTGCCTTGCTGGGCCTCTGTGAGAGCAGACAGGTGATCTGGCCAAACCGGCAGGTCTTTCTGGAGGGCCTTTGGCGACCTCTAGTGGCCCCTGCTGTCTCTACAGCCCCGGTGCTGAGCGTTCCCTGGTCCGTCCCCTCTCCTGCAGGTGCGCCAGAAGATGCTGTACGCTGCGACCCGCGCGACCGTGAAGAAGGAGTTCGGAGGAGGGCACATCAAGGATGAGATGTTCGGCACCGTGCAGGTACCACCGGCAGGCGGCTTCTGATAATAATCACTAGGGAGGAGAGCAGAGTGATGAAGCCAGTTCAGAGAGGGGGGTCATTAGGAGGCCATGACTGGTAAAGGCCAGGGGGGAAATCTGGCCAGGACACTGGGGTTACACCCCTACTCTTTTCGAGAAGCGCCCTGGGATTTTTAATGACCACAGAGAGTCAGGACTTCGGTTTTACACGTGTGTGCTCCTTCGTCCTTCTCACCCGAAGGACAGCGCATTTTTACAGTAAAGTCCCTGTTGCTGTACTGAGGCATTAGGACCCACACAGCCCACAGGGTGAGAGCGCCCCCTGCTGGCCCCACTGACACCTCTTCCAGCAGCAGCCTCAGCTTTCCCAGGAGTCTCCCCTCCAGGTACTGGCCAGGCTCACTTGTGCTGGGCTTCAGTGGGCGGCCAGCTGGGAGCTGCAGGGGGATTGATATATCTGCGCCACAGAGCCCCTTGTGACCAGAATCCATCCGGTCACGTCAGGCCACTTGTTAGACAACTTGGCACAAAATGACTGAGTTGGCAGACCCGGGGTTGGCACAGACTCGCGGGAACGCTGGGTGGGCAGGGTCCCACTGTGACACTGCTGGCTCTCCTGGACAGCTCGCTGGGGACAGGCGCGTGGCTCTTCGGTCGCAGGCTGTGGAAGGCACGGCAAAGATGCATTGCAGCCGCTTGCTGCAGTGTTGCGCCCTGTGGACAGCCGGACCCTACAGCACTAACTTCCCCTTTCCTGTCCCCGCAGGAAGACATCTGCTTCCAGGGGTACCTGCGTCACATGACCTCCTGCTCCGCCCCCGCGCCCCTCACAGCCGCTGAACAGGAGCTGCAGCAAATCAAGATCAACGAGGTGAGCGCGGGGGCGGGCCTTTCGCAGAGACGGGCCTGCCTGGCCCTGGATCACAGGGCCCGTCACAAGCACGGCTACCAGAGGGAGAGGGGGTCAGAGTCCAGTACCCGTGTCAGCCAGGGGTTCAGGAGCGTGGTGGCGCGCTCACATGCCCCACGTTGTAGACGCAGCCTGAAGGCCGCGGGAAGGGCCGTATCTTAGCGAGAGTTCGGCGCGCGTCGGTGCGGTACTGAGTAATTTACCTCTTCCCTCTCCTGCCTCTGCTGCTGCTCCAGGACAGGGTGGTTCGGGTAAGTGTGTGTGTGTGT